GCACCATGATGATGATGATGTATGTTCGGGGCTGCATTACAATATTGATTGTTCGGATCATTGGTATCTAAGTCTTCCGCTGTGCTATCTTATACTTTGTATTGAAAGGTCGGTTCTTGTTCTGGTCTGCACCTGGTATGCAACACTATTCCTACCTAACTCTGCTCTGTGCAGGGAGCAGCACCCAAGCTCCTAGCACCTGGCACGGGCTGGAAAATGCGACGCTTCCACAACCAGCCAGGAGGGACAAGCGGACTTTCTCAGTCTGTGAACCTGAAGCATGCCACACAGGGGGTTGTGGGGAAGCGAATGGATGTGGTGGGGTGGGGAATTGAACCCACAACCTACTGCGTGCGTACCCCTTACGTGCTCAACCATCTGAGCTAGGTGGCTTCGATCCACTCTCCTGTTTCGTTACAATTTTCTTTGCCTGTTTTCATTTGCAGTGGATGATCTCTTATATGGTGGCAAAGCTCACTAACCTTGTCATGCGTGGAATTTAACACGCAGTTTAAGCACTGGAAGTTGGAGCATATGCTGTGGATTCCTTGATGTATGCTTGTGGATGGCTGTGGGACTGTCTGAGCTGGTGGATGAGTGTGTATGGGTTTTGTACTTTGGAAGAGTATAACACAGAACGGAAAATGACAGGAAGGTAGCAGAGAGAGAACATGACAGGAGAGGAAAGAATGAAAGAAAGAGGAAGAATTGCTACGTTATGTTAAGTTACTGACAATTCAGGGTTGTCGGATGGTCATTTTCTGTCAACAGAACAAGGATGGCAATGGAGATTCCCCGTTCCAGGCAGTCAAGGATCCTACTGTCTTCGCCGTTGCCCGTGCAAGGTCTACAAAGGTGAGCACAGTACCCGAGAATGCTACTGCTGTTACGGACTCAGCCAGGGCTCGACCCCTGATCCACGGGCTACCACCTGCCAGGCTGCTATTTTATTTTTGGGTTTCTGTTTTCCGGTTCCTGACTGTTGGCGCCCTCTGCAGTTGGTGCCCGTTCCTCCTTTGGCACTTTCAGCTTTCGATACTTGGCACCATCCGACATTCTGGCGCCCAGACTCAGACCTTCAATTCTCAGTTCATCCCTGAGGCAAATTGCACTTCTGCCCTTGGGACTGAACTTGAGTCCGGTACTTAAGACCGGACTCCAGCCCAGTAGGGGCACTCAGTTTTCAGCTTCAGTGCTTGTGCTTCAGTGTGACTTGCTGCGACATTGTGTTCGGAATCCAAGATTGCAACTTGGCGACTTTGCCACTTTGTGTCTGTGTCCGTCGAGTCGTGTCGAGTATGCTTTGAGTTGAGTGAGCGTGTGTGTGTGCTCTCACTCTCCCTCTCACCCCCAGCCTTGCTGCCCTGCCTCTGCCTCGTCACAGTGGTATCGGAGCGGCAAACGGCCCTCCCTCTCTCCCTGCTCCGGCGCCGCCATGTCATCAACATCGTCGTCATTGTCACCGTCTTCGGCGCCGCTGCTCCGTCATCATCATAGCTGTCCCAGTATCGCCGTCGCTGCCACGTCATCGCCATTGCCGTTGTCTTCGTGGTTGCTGACACATCAGCACCTCGCTGCCTTCGTCGTTGTCACTGCCACGTCACCGATCCCGAAACCGACGCGCAGATAAGTGACCATTAAAGAAATAAATTATGTTCTCTTTCTGTCTCCTTTTCCGCCTCTTTTCTTCTTCTTCTTCTTCTTCTTCTTCTTCTTCTTCTCTCCTTCACCACCGTCGTCATCACTGTCCCTTCCCCCCTCCTCGTCATCATCATCTCATCCTTCTTCTCCCTCCTTCGTCGTCATCGTTGTCACCCCCCCCACCCCCTTCTTCGCGCTGCCACCGCCCACCTCCTGCGTGATCAACCCCTCGCCCTCCCCCGCCTTGCGACTTTCCCCCATCGCTTCCTTCCTCCGAACCCGCGTGGCCTTTTCCTCCCCGTGCGCAATGTCTCCCCCCTGTCTCTTATACACATCTAGATGTGTATAAGAGACAGTCCCTGCACGACTTTCCCCCCGCCTTCCCCCCCCATCACCAATCACCATCAATCTTCCCGTGCAACCCCCCCTGCGCTAACCCCCCACCTTTTAACCCTACCTACTACAATACCACTCAATCAATCATAAATAGGATTGCTCCGCCCTCGATTTACTTCATTTGCAAGGAAAATGAGAGAGATCAAGATGATACCAATGGGCCCAGCTCAGTTGGTACACCCCCAAACTGTTGAAATACAGACCCAAGTTCAAATCCAGATACAACCAGATGACCAGAACAAAATCATTATGAATTACCTGGGTCCGGTCAGTTCAATTATGATATCTCAAGGCCGTCGCCCTTTTTTTTTTTTTTTTATAAAAAAAAAGAGAGATCGAGATGACAGAATCCAGATAGCACAATCACATTGAAAGCAAGAAGTCCCACACCGAAACCGAAAGTCAATGAGAGCTTTCTCTCGTCTCCACCAGCATACGTATCGAGGCCCTCTCTCCCTGCTTGGTGCTCGGCGCCTAGGCTACTCCCTACACAGCTACTTCCTGCCTACGAATTGACAATGCAACTGCTGACGTCAGCCGCCACCGAAGTACTTGAAGATGTTGACCAATGCAGACCATTGCCAATACCAGGTATGCACCCTCACATCATCATCATCATCATCATCCTCATCTCTCCCACTCTGTCCCTGTCCTTGTCTTCGTCCCATGTCTTCTCCTTCATGCACAAAGACCACCACCACCTCCACTGGCTGTCCAAACGAAGCCGGGGCGATGTAGGGCTGGCTATGGCGCTGCCCTCAGCAGCGCCCTGCCTTCTTCCAGCGCCTGCGCGCACTGCCTGGCAACTAGCGCTAGCGCACGGCGCACAGGCCGCGAGCGCATGCTGAAGTAGCGCTGCCGCATGCACTGCCCAGTGCCCCAATGAGGCCACCCGTGGCGAGCTCTTTCCTTTATGGAAAGTGCTCGCCCAGTTTGCTGTCTGGCTGGGCCTCGTGTGTTTCCAGTAGCTTCTGATCGGGCCAAAGTGTCTGTGCCCAGGCCCATTCAGACAGTGGCCTGGAACCGAATTGGTTAGGCATGCCCAAACACCCAGGAGTGAACATGAGGTTCTCCCTGCTTCGCCTGTGCTGCTGGAAGAGCGTAGAAGGCTCATGGATTATTTCTGATTCTCACGAATATGGAGGATGTAACCAACTGGCGCATGGCAACTGTTTGGCGCCCACCAAACTCTGCCAAAATTGACGAACTCAGGCCATATTGAAATTCAGGGGCCCGCCTTCACTTAGGGCGGGCTCATGCTTGCTGAAAGGGCCCTACAGGGGCATGCCGAGGAGCTAACTCGTAACAAGGCCTCGCCAAAGAGTAATGCCCACATGGGGGTTCCAACAGGCTCTGCTCGAGCCCCTCAGCCTTGTCTCATAGTCCTATATACAGGTATTGGCACATGTTTGCAGGCCCGCCTTC